AAAAAAAAAAAAAAACATCATTTTTACATTATTAGGGGCAATATTGATATTTTTTCACCCACCAACCATCCACCACATCAGTGGGCCGCACCTCCCCACCAACTCGTCCAATCCCCTAGCTATCACTCTCCATTATCTCACACACACACACACCGGCTTCAGGCACACAGCACACGATCGCCGGTCACACACTCACACACAATACAATTCCCGTCGTAAGTAGGCCCTTCCATCTCCGCTGCCGCGTCTCCGTCACGACCACACCCCTTCTGCCACCGCCATCCAATTTCACGAGTCTCCCCCACTTTTGTCTTCTCAGCCACACCGCCACATGAAGGAAATTGTGCGTCTATTGCCCGTGTCCCTCCTGATCGAGCCAGTGTGTCCCCGAACGTCTACCTTTGAATAAATTGACTCCGCCATCAACGAACGACCACATTTTCGATCAGAAATTTTAATGCAAAGGAGGATTATGGCGCGGCAGCGGCAACATAGGATGAGTGGATTGGCGGCGGCGGTTGGGTGGGCAAGAAGTTCACCGGCAGACAGGATGGCGGTTGATATGGCGGGGATAGTCCTAAGTTGTGGGGTTCCCTTTAAGGAAAATTTATAATTTTCAGAGACCTAATTGCAATTTTAAAAATTTTAATATATTACAATTTAGTTCACGGGTCAAATCTATAATTTATAAATAAATGCAACAAGTGCACAATAATGATAAGTAAAACACACAATATATATATATATAGTGTGTGTGTGTGTGTGTGTGTGTGTGTGTGTGTGTGTATGCACATTCAAAATGCAGGCGCTGCGATTGCACAATAGTACTAGGAAGTGCATATTAATGACTGTCAGACTGCACAATAGCGACAGAAATAGACCGAACTAAAATTTTTGATTTGAATTTTTATATGTCAGTTCAGTTATCTATTATTACTTTTAAAATTTCAATTAGCTCGATTCGATTTTGACTTTATCTTTTAAAATAATTGGAACGACCAAACTATATAGAAACTATCATTTATATATATATATATATTATATATATTATGTCTTTTCAATCGAAAATAATATAAAATATTAAATGAAATTATTTTTTTTCCAGAATGATAGAGTTGCTATAAATAACTCAAAGAGAACAATATTCTAATACATAAGGGGAAAACCCTATCACAACGAAACATAAAACTGAGAAGCACAACACATGTGGCCTAGAACCTCAACTAAACAAATCCGAAAAACCATAAGACATAGTCACTACAGGAAACTATGAGCCTACCCACTGCTAACTAGTCTATCTAGGACTCAACAGCTCCAAACAAGAAAATAAAAGAAATAAAACTACACCCATAAAACCAATAAGTCACAATGAGGAGGTGAAATCCAGCTAGTCCTTGTGTGCTACCTTGATAACAATGTGCACTGGAAGTAGGGAATGTTGGAACACTCAGAGATTTCTGGATTTCCAGAGCCACCATAGCAGATATTTTGATAGTTGAATTCTAGCTTCTGCCACTTCAGTGTGATTGATGGAACAAACCTGCCGCCACCAATGTTTAAATGATCTGGTGTCGCTGTTGATCCCATCCCATTATACAGGTGCAAGTTCCCACAATCTACAAGCTGTGGAACAGGAAAATAATATATGTTCAACAGTTTCTGGGGATTCATCACAGACTGGGCAGACAATGTCAATGCTCATTCCTTTCTTCCTTAGATGAGTTCGATCTTACCCACCACCTTCAACTTCCAACATCTGTAGATTGATGGTTGCTTTGTTGTAGGTTGAGAGCTGGCTTCTGGGATGTCAAGATGCATGAGTTACTGATTAGTGAGATAGAAGTATGTGATTGGAACTGAAAATTACCATTTTCCTCAAAGCCCCATATTAACCTATCATCTCTGCTTGAGTTAAGAGTTTTGATATTCAGGATTGCCTCACTGTCAGCAGCATCAAAAACCTGTCTAATTAGTCATTCATTCCAACCATGTCCATTAGCCAACATTAAGTCCCTTACCCAAATCAGGTGTCCTCTAGCAATTTCAAGCATAGATGGTTTTGGCTTAGTAGGATGAGGGACCCAGTTGAAGTCATCAATTCTAGTAGTGATACCATTCCTAACCCCCTTAGAAAAAATACGAATCACATCTGTCCAACTGTTCCATAGCCAAGAACTATTAGGAGATTTCACAGCTTCAAGAAGGGAGCAATGAAGAAAATACCTATCTTTAAGAACCCTGCTCACAAAAAATAAATCATTAAAATACTATATATAATTTTATAATATAAATAATAAATTATTTTGATTATTTATGTTAATTAAGTTAAGTGGTCGAATAAATTGATTACTGCGGTTCAATTTTAGTTTTGTTTGAGACAAATCATTAAAAATGATTGGGCTACGAGTGCACGATATTGTTAGATGAATTGCATGTTAATGACTGTCAGACTTCCCAATAGCGACTGAAACCAACCGAACTAAATTTTTTTTGTTTCAATCTTTTATACTTCAGTTTGATTATCTGTTTTTACTTTGAAAATTTTAGTTACTTCAGCTCAATGTTAGCTTTATTTTTTAAAATAACTGAAATAACAAACCGATCCAACTATGTAAAATTATTATTTTGATATATGTATTTTTGATATAAATATATATTTTCTTTTCAATAAAAAACAATATAAAATATTGAATAAAAATATTTAAACACTATA